AAGCTTTATTGTTAATTCAGTCAATCAAAATTAAACTGTGTAGCACTTTTAGTGCAAATGACCTAGAATGTTAGCTAAGGGAATGTCTTCATCTCTTGTCATCAGAGAGAATATACTTGTAAATCAAATGAAGTCAGAGAAGCAAACTCATGGAAGGTAAAATATTTGGACCAGAAGGGACTGCTTTTAAAAGAGTGCTTTGTATACATAGCAGCAAAGGTAAAGGTAAAATGGCTAGATGAAGACAAAGGTGTTTAAAAGAATGAACAAAAAATTATTGTGTGTGTTAGAGCAGCAACATGATTTCATAGAGTAGGCTATATAAGTAAAGATATGTAAGTGTATTTAAGCAGTGAGGCTGGATGCCGAAAGAGGGGAAGGTAAGGAAAAACTGGAAAGTGGTTAAAGGAAGTTTTAGAAGAGAACTGTGACAAAATATTTCCAGCTATGTAGTGAAGATTTGGAAAATAATGAAAATGCAATGAAAAACTAAGAGCACAGCTGAAAGCTGTGTTGGCAGATATACAATATCAGTATAAGGAAATGTTCTTCAGATGTTTATTCCAGGGCCACCTGGAAAGGTGCAGTCAATACAGATTGAAAAGGCCTTGTGAAAGATGAAATTAGGCTAGATTTCAGCTATTGCTTAAAAATACCTCCCCTTCAGTCCAGCAGAAAGTGGAAGTAATATAAATGTTTGGATTTTCAGAGAATCATGACAGAGGTATATGACATAATAGATAAATAATAATCTAAATGATACTTGATTTTTTAATAATCAAGAACTTTACAGAACTAGTGAGCTGAACATTAAACCCACCAATTTTTGCATGATAATCTCACGAACTTTATATAGTGACTGCTTCTCTGGAATGTGAGCCCTGCTCAATCACCATTATGAGATATCCTTTAAATGCATCACTATTTCTTTACCTGTATCCATGACTTCCTCTACTTCCCACTTCCTTCTGAAGAAAGGGGTAAGGATCAGAACATGATCTGATGGGAGCAGAACCACGCAGGTAACCATAGCCAGGTCAAAGTCCAAAGTACTTCGGCCCTAGGAGAATCAGTGCAAAGGGACAGTTTAACTGCCTGTCAGCAATAAAACAGGGAGGCAATATCTAGTTACTGTGACCCTGGAGATGGAGTCACACACATAGGTGAGCACGCTGAGAAGCTGGAAGTGTGGACAAAGCAGCTGTAGGATTGTCAGAATGTTTCTAAGCAGAGATGCCATGATCCAGACATTGCTGAAGGTTTTTGAGTCTGATATGCAGGGGGCCGTAATTAATAATAATGTCCACAGCTTAAAAAAACTTCACAGCAATCTGCAAGTTGCATCAGTGAGAGGTTTGAATTGCATGAGGCCCTGTTTATGTTGGGTATACAGGCATATGCCTGAGGCAAACTGCCTTGTAAACAAATGTTAAATTGGATCAGCAGTATTGCCAAAATATTTACTTGTTTTCCTTCTGGAGTCAGGTGGCTGAAACATCTCTTCTATGTTTTTATGGCACAGAGGTGGCCTGAAAGGAGAAGAAAGATTAAAACTAAATAGTTTTGCAGGGCTTTGGCAAGGCATGCCAGGATAGACACAAGTTTTGTCTAGGGTATGATCGATAGGTAAGTAGGCACAGAGGGCAGAGCTGACGGCTCCTTCCATGTTGATAATGCAGAATTTGACAGAACCTGTCAGTTCCTTGTTGTCAATTTGTTCTTGCCAGAGAAATGCTATTTGCCAGTTGTGCTTCAGAGGAGAGAACATCATTAGTCTTAGGTATATTCCATGTGATTAGCATTGTTCTCCATAATTTATAAACTGATACTTGATTTTATTCATGGTATTGAGTATTGTCCTCTTGAGAAAGATGCTCTCAACTCCAGTTCTGCTTCTTCCTCCTTGCTTAAAGGATACCTAGCGAGAGAGGAAGAGTCCCTTTTTTCCTCATCTCTTCTTTGGTTTGATTAGGAATTTTGCTGTTCTGTCAGATCTTGCAGAAATACATCCTCCAACATCAGAACAATATACAGAACTTCAAATAAAATTGCTGATGTTACCTTACTGTGTCCCTTTAAGTGAAACACACCATAGTTCAATGTTGGGTACTATTTAGAGACCAGGTAATTGGACAGAATATGCTGCTCTATGTCTAAGAAACTCTGGAAATTTTCAAGCACAGGAAAATTGATTTTATGAAATAAAAAAGAAAAGCCTACTGACCTTGCCACCAAACCTTGTTCAGTCTGTCAAGTCTGGAAAGACTGCAGGATGGCCTAAAACAAAGAATGAAAACTTTTGTCTTTGCAAAAGCAACTCAATTTTCTTTTGATGTGCAGTTAGTACTGTGAACAGTCAGACCTTTGAGAAGCAGTTGTTGGCCATTTGTTGTTGTATATCAGACCTGAATATCCAGGAAGCATGCAGGACACAGTGACCAAAAAAGTTACCTACCTTCTTTTCTGAGCTCTCCTTAGCTTAAGAAAAGCAGTCAGAACAAACGAGGTCCTATGATAAATTCTATATTTACCTCAGAGTTGAGGCAAAAGAGCAGGAAATTTTGGCATGAAACTGAGTGAATTATAGAAATAGGCAAAAAATTGAGAGGTAGCTGGCAGAGTTAATGAGAAGACAGATACTGTTTAAGACCACATTCCATCTGAGTCCCTGATCACCTTCTACCTGTATTCATTCCCTTTTGGCAGACCTTGAAGCTTCTCTGTTGATGGAAAGCTCATTTCTGAGGAGGTTCTGTTGAGAGCATCTCTGACTGTAGGAATTAAGTTACTTCAAATCTTTTCCTGTTCCCTGAAAACCCCAAATTACTCCACCACAACACCCAAGATTCCTAATCTTTGTCTCAGAGGAAGTGTGTTGATTTAGCTGCTGCTGTGTATAGGTTCAAAGCATAGTCCTTTTTTCTTTATTTAAATTTACATTGTTGAAGTTTTCTAAGTCTGTGAAAACATTTTAAATTTTTTCCCTTCACCCAAGCCATTACTTCTTGTCAAACCAAGGTATATCTAAAATATGTTTTAAAAGTCTCTGTGTAGACATGGACCTGTCCAACTTAGTTTGTTCATTCAAATTGGCTGGGTAAAATTAAAAATTAATGAAAGTACACAACTGACACAAGAAACCTGGCAAGTAATGATAAACCTCATCAACTTAACATGCAATCATCCTGCTTAAAACCAATAAGCATGCTAAACAGGCAAGACAGGTTGCGTTGAGAATGATTCTAGATTATCTTGTTGAAATGCACTCCAGTGTAGTTTGACCAGTTTTATTTTAAAACCACTATTACCACAGAAAGGAGGAGTCCCATGCTTGTGAACTTGCTGTTGGTTTCTACTCAGTACTGGTTTCTATATCCTTCTCCACCCCCTTTCCCTGATCCTTCTTGCACTGGGATTACTGGGTGACTGTAGGTGAGGCATTTGAGGAGCTCATGTACATAAGCAGGGGGGAAGCAGGAGGAAAAGCATCTGAGGGCTATTTTTCTACTCAGTGCCTCGATATTGTTTACCACACTCACCTGTGATGTTTCCAGTGCTATCCTATACTTGAAACTAGGATGAGAAGAGGCAACTTAGAAGTGTTAAACCAGACACACACCTGAAATATGATGCCCTTTCTTCCCTGTACATCCCCTGTGCTGAATTCATGGGCTTTGTGTCTAGATGAGGATGTTTAGCTGAAATATGCTCGCCCCTTGTTCTTGCAGATAGTGGTATGCAAATAAAACTTGAATATAGGCACTACTTGCTGCCTCAGAGCTACCAGGGAGCCTTACCTTTTGTCTTGATACCCATACCTTATTTTCTTCTTACATTTGCTTATCATGGGTTCAGCTGTTCTTTCTGTAATTAACATATCACAGCTAAAGGAGCCTCTTACTGGAAAAGATGAACAGTCTTCTGGAATAAAAGTGGACAGGCTGCTGTTGTTTAAAATGTAGGTAGTTTGTATGTACCTAAATCACAATGTTGATTTAAGTTTTAAATTAGAAAGCTGATGAGTCTTAAATTCCTGGAACACAGACCATCCTAAGCTAATCTCCATAAAGATGAATAAATTTGCCATGGGGGTAATTCAGTGTTTTGAGGAATACACATTTTCTATTTTTGAGCTTCAGATACTGATGCAGGAAGAAAATAGGAACTGAATTTCCATGAATACTACTAGTATGTGTGTGGGAATTCCCAAACTTCAAGGAAATTCAAAGAATTGGCAAGCCCTATGCTATTGTGACAACTCCTTTCTAATAGTAGCGCACATCTACATAGCACTTGACAGATGGGCTAGTTTGAGTACCAAGTTAAAAATGGCCACATTCCTGAATTTCTGACTAGAGAAAGTCACACTGAATGAGGTGCTGGTGCTGCGCAGTTGCCAGAGAAATCCTCTTTTTCCTGCTGATGCTCTACAGCCACTACTGACACCCTGTGTGAGGTGATCCCCTGTGCAGGATCCTCTCTGCTTTGCAGCAGGGGTTGGCAGCAGTGCTTTCAGTCAGGGGATGTGGAAGCTGGATCATATTGTTTACTTCTGAAAATAGACTGAGTACCTCCAAAATCTGCCCCATAGCTGTAAGCAACAGGTCCTTGTATAACACATTCCGTGAATAATGGCAGCAACCACTTCAAGGGGGGAAAAAAGGATATGGGTGGAATAAAGGTAAGTTTTATAGGTCTTGGAGTGGGAAACTTTTTCTCTGTGGACAAGCAGATGGCTTCCTTCACTGGAACTAAGAAGCTGATACTTGGGGTTTTTTCAGCTTCTCAAGCTTTCTGTCATCATGAATTGCAAGAGAAGAGCAAAATGCCATTTCACATTTGCATAGTATGCTTATAGAAGGTAATCTCTGTGATAAAGAATGCAGAAATTGATGTATGGATCACTTTTGTCATGAAGAATCTCTATACTGCACTACAACAATACTGGTTCTTCAGTCTTTCATTTAATATCCTTACCATTTTTTGCTTCTATCCAATAGGTAAGGCACAGAACTTCAGACCAGGTAATGGCTTTGAAGATGAACACATTGAACAGCAACAGAGCAAACATGCTGAAAGAGGTTCAACTTATGAATAGACTCTCACATCCGAACATCTTAAGGTACACTAGCTTTTTTCTGAATCATACAGAGAGATTTAGTAGGGCTCTCCTCTTTCCAATTTTTCTTTAGTTATTTTATGTTCTAGGTTTATCCGTTGTGAATGTGTTAGGATCAATTCCTAATTTAATAGATGAATGGTAGAAAGAAGAAAAGACTTAAGAGAAAAAAACCAAACATGGACACAATTTTGGTATCTGGAGTTTGCCAGTAATGAGTAACTTTTGTCAGAGAAAAACAAGTGTTCACATTATAAATTTCTGATGGATCAATAAAGTGATATGAAGAGTGAAATTTGGCTTCTTTTTATGAATTTAAGTTGTTGCAAATTTAATACTACTCAACTAACTTACGGTTACTAATCTTAAAATTAAACAATGTAAAGTGTCGTAGCTGTTTCTTATTCTTAGGTCTGCTTCCTAGTTTTTAGGATTTTCTTATTGCAGTGTTTCAAGGTGGGATAAGAAGAACTGAAGAAAAGAAGCTAGAGTTGAACTAATCTAATTTATATTCTCGTGGAAGGACACTAGTAGTTCTTGCTTTGCATTAGATTACTGCATGCAAATCCAAAAGGTTCCAATGTGTATCGTGTTGTTTCTTGAACCATATTAGTCTTGGTTTCTCTTCTATGGTGATGTGACAACCAATTAACATAGCTGGCAGAAGCCATAACATTATGAAATTTAAAGATGTGACAACAGTGTACCAAATGACCAGTTCTCCCAAGCTGCTGTTGCACACCTGGAGTCCATTTCTGATCTCAGCTCTGTTTGAAAAGTTTTGGAGACACAGTGAACTCTGTTACTTAATTTCCTTTTCTTTGCCATTCTGTTATGTAGTACAGACATAATACTGATTCCTAAAATCCTTAATAACCAGTTTTTCTGGCCTTGAAACCTATCTCAGTCTTCATCAACTGAATTGTAATAATATTATCCTTTGTGTTTCCTTCAGTATTTATGAGGACACATGTCAGAAGCATTTGAAATATCTGTAAGGAGCATTCCATTAATTCATGTCTGTTTTCTATTAGTCTCTTGTAAAACCTCAAAAACTTAAAGCATTATTACTCATAGTAAATTGTGTTGGTTTTATCATAATATATTTATTCAAGTGTTGTATTTATCCCTAAAAACAATTCCTAGTCTGTTTTCTCTGCTCCAAGGTGAGGTACGTCTGTGTTGTTGTTATTTTTTTTTTTTTTTTTTTTTAAATTATATCATCTATCTGGTTATTTAGATTTCAGGATCATTATTTGTGTCTTATATTTATCCCCCACATCTTTTCCTTAATTTTTTTTCTGAATCCTGTGATAAGCAGTGTATCACCCTGGGGACTGATAAAGCTGCTTTTTTAGTAAGGTTTGTGGAAAGAAAATAAGATTGGCATTGTCAGAATCATCAATTCAGTATGCTTCATCAGTTTCTTTTGTGTCATTGGTAAGTCTTATTTAAAAAAAAAAAACTAGCTCTACAGCTCTCTTAAAAATCAAGAATTTAATTTGGGTTGGGATGAGGGAAAGTAGGAAATGGGTATATATTGACAGGCCAGAAGCATTCAGTTGTACCTAAATGTAACCCTGTCCCCTCTTGAATGGAATTACATAGGTGTTGCTGAGAGCAAAAATAATTGTGCTCAGTCCTGAATAATTGCTGAAATTTAGGTGTCTCATGAAGTAAAAGAGATCATATTTGTGATGTATTGCTCCCCTCTGGCCTTAGAGCCTATGAATAATTTGAAGTCAGCAGTGTTACACAGATGGTCCCGAAGGAAGAGCAATAATATATTGATTTATGTATGAAGCAGAAAAGGAATTTCATTTGTTCTTCCAGTTATTACCAGAGATTGACAGAGAAAGCTTTTTCTTTTTGTGCTCAAGTAAGCAGTTATGAGTGAATACATCAGAAATAAATTACTTAAATAGAAAGGGTCTATCTTTGCACAGTTTGTTTAGAAGAGTAAACTGCATTTGATTTATGAATTGCTTGATTTGAGGCTTCTTCAAAAAAAAGTAGACTCTGGTAAAAAATAGTGCCTTTTTCTTATCTGTTAGGTAAGTCCCCTTGCTACAAGGAGCAGAGTTTTTCCTACAGGCAGTGCAAATAAGGAAACCGTATTTAGTTGTAGTTGTTTTTTTATTGAATTACAATACACAATAAAACTACTACTTTTGTGAAGGAGATAACTTGATGGTTTTGTGTGTTAATGATGTGTCGTTTAAGTTTTTGTTTAAATTTTACTGCAGTATTTCCGATTTCTTTGTCTGGGAGATTTTGCCCCTCTTAAATGTTACCTGCCTATGTATCTGTATATACCTGTATATAAATACACACATGCAAGCCTCTCTATTTAGATTTCATAAACATATAAATCCTTGGTGCTTCTACTAGTCTTGTGAAACAACCCATTTCCCACTTTAGAAACACATAAAAAAATAATTAATAGTAATTTGCGCTTGAAGTGGTGAGAGGTTGTGTTGCTTGTTTGACAACATTGTGCTGTCAGATAAGAGCAGCTGGATATGCTCTTATTGCTGAGAAGTTTTTATGAAAATGTTCTGCTGCAATGTGTTCCCATTGAAACATTTTCTGGGATTATTCTTAGAAATTTTAAGCTTGTATTAGTATTTAAAGGGAACATCCTCCTCAAAGAAGTTCTAATATATAACTTTTCCATGGGCTATGAGCTATCTCAGGTTGCTGTTAAATATTTTCTTGGCTTAATTTCTTTCCTTTGAAGTTCTTCTATCTTACTGAGTGAGGTGTTTTGTGACTAGCATCAAGTTCACTTCTCTATTGATTAGCCATTGGATCTCCTCCACATGCCTTGAAGGTGTCCTCTGATTTTTACATAATATATCTCTGAGCTTCTTCATCTTCTCTGAGCTCTGGGACTGCCTACTGTTAACTTCCACTGTAAACAAGTTTCTTTTCTTCCTGTTGCTAGCCAGTATGGATAGTAATGGATTCTTAGGCTGAAATGTTGGGATCATATTGTGCAGTGGTTAATTGAAGCAGGTGAGGGCTGCGAGGTGCTCTGCTATCAAATGGTGTGTAAAATTATGAAACTGGATAAATACTCACAGCCTCCAAAATGTGCTCTCAAACCATTTTAACATATATAGGATAGCAAGTTAATGTTTTAGAAAGCAAATGTCAGATTCAGCCATGAGGCATTTATTTTAGTACACTACAACTTCCTTAAACTGGGAGTGTGGTTGTGTTTTTGAACATCCTGATGTGTAATACCTCAAATTTGTTATTGAATCAGTGTTTCTGTCTGCAAGCTCTTCTGTTGTTTATATAGTTAAGTGTCATGGAAGGGAGAAGAAGTTCTTCCTTGTAGTGCATTTGGCAGCCCAGGATCATCATTTTCCTTTGGGTAACTAAAAGGACCATCCCTTTGCCAGTGCTCTAAAATATATAGCAACTTTTTACAAGCTGTCAGTTCCAATGTGCCCACAGTTAACTTCAAGATGTTATTGTGAAGATTTTGGTATTTTTGCTGTTGATTGCTCAGATGTGAATAATTAATACTGCTGACTATTTGAAACTACTTTTGCTTCTGTGCTGTCCATATCAACTCCTTTTCAGAATTACAGATGCATTTTGAGGTTTCTATCCAGACTGCGGTCGCTCTTCTGGAGTGGGAGTTTGTCAGTAGTTCCTGACTTCCTTCCATTCATTAGCTCTGTAGAGAGTACTTAAAGGCAGGTCTGTGTTTTTACCTTACAGATACTTTTGTACATCTATAGGACATGGAATTGGGTCAAGGTATTTCAGTTTCTCTTGGTGAGTTTCAGTTTTACTTGGTGAAGTACTGTTCTGGGTGTTTAGGCTTTAAAAACAACAGGCTGTATTTGCTATGGAGTGAAAGGCTAATTTTAAATCTCATTTCAGTATGTCTACACTCAAATTCTGTTCTTGGCTGATATAGATCCATCTTGATTAGAAGAGAGATGTAAGTGAAGAGCTTAGTTTTCACTTACCAAATCCGCAGTAAGTCTACCGTCCCCATGGTAGGATCATAAAGATTCCAGTGGTCAAATATATGTGTATATGTAAGTTTCTAATGTATTTTCCATGAAGAAAATGAGAGACTGCTCTCTATTAGGGGATTTATTTTGGCAAAAAATGGGACTTCTTTTTCAGTCTGTTAAGGATATCTTAGAATAGAAGACTCCAACTCTTGTGGCTACACAGGCATGATGGTAAAAAATAGGGGATTTGGGAGTTGTTTTTGTCTCCCTTCCTCTTGTTTCCTATTTCAGCTAGCAGATGTGATTCTAGAGGCAGAGTAGGTGTTAACTGCAATGTAGTAACTTCTTGTTCAGTCACTGTCTGGTGTTTATAACAAACTATGTATGAGAGCTGCTTATCTTTCTGGTTTGCTGTTTTTTCCCCTGGGTCCAGGTTGGGGACATTTTAGGAGTGGACAGGGCAAAAGCAGACAAATGGTGATCAAGGAGGGTTTTCTTCTGTTTCTACCATCAACCTCATTTCCTATCTCCATTTCACTCCTGCATACAAGTTAAACACGGAGAGTTAAAATGCTTTTCTACCTTTGATCTACATTTCTTCCTGCCTTGGATGTGGGATGTGCTGGTTTTATCATAGCTTCCCTCAGACAGATGGTGAGAGAAGGTGTGGAAAAGTGAGCTGAGGTTGGGGTTTGTACCATGTGATGTTTACTATAGCCACTTTAATACAGGTTAACTGATATATGGCAAGACTGTAATTGCTGGGGTTAGGGAAAACAGGGGTTTGGAGCATTTCTCCACTTCCTTATTAGCTTGTGTCCTATTTAAAGTGCAGTGCTGTTCAAGGGTTGGGTTAGATCAAGTACCATGGCTATGAAAGTTCTGGTGTATGTAGATGTGTTTTACCATTTTGTTACTTTTCTGAATACTGGTGTGCTGCTGTAGTCATGAATTTTTACCCAAATCAAAGTAAGAAAGCAGGTCTGGAAAGGACTCAAGAAATCTCTGTCCTTGCATCCTGAGCTTGTGAGCCTTCAGGCTACAGCCTGAGAGACCTGATAGCTTTTTTTCTTTTTTTTTTTTTGGTAATATCTTACAGATGCGTTTTTCTCATACAAATGAAGTGGTGTGCTACCAGCGGTTCTCCATCTCTTGTGCTGTCTCTTAAATTATTGTATCTTCAATTTTGAGGTAGAATTTCAGTATTTAATATCACTATTGTTTGCATGAAAAAGTATTTCTTTATTTGATCTGTACCTTGGGGACTTAATTTAAAACATTCTGTACACAGAAAGTCTTAGCTCATGTCTTAAGTGCTCTCATGGGAGCACTTGGAGGTATTGCTGCATGTTTGGCTGTGAGCGTGCAGGCAGATTGACTCATTGATTAAATCCACCTTCTTGTGTGTGCAGGCACACAAATAAGCACACTGTGCATATTCCATGAACTCCTTTCAAGGAGAATTTTATTTCATCCCTTTTGAGACAAATCTATCACCCTGGGAACACAATACTGGGGATTTTTTTTCTTGTGTGTAGTTTTATCCTTTCAAACCTTCCTTTTTGTAAAATTACTTGTGATGGACTTTGTTACAATAGCCAGAAGGATGGATGTTGTCCTTTAACATCCTTTGTCCTGTAGTGAACAGTGCTTTAACAGGAAAGAAAATTGCTTTTGCTTCTCTTTGTTTAGCGTGGTTATCAAAAAGAGGTATTTTAGAAATACAGTGTACAAGACAGCAGAAGAGATGTTGTATGTGTTGTGTATGTATTACAGGAATGATAGATTAAATGTCTTACCTGTGTCTAGAATCAAGGTCCAAGTGTAGAAAACTTAAAATACGTTTTTAATCTAGCATGGTGCCTAAACCATTAAGGAGGGCATTAATGCAGGCTTAATATTTTTATTTGTCCTCTTCTTTCTCCAACAGTCAGTGCAATGAAATAAGCATGTGTCTTCTGATCTTTTGTCTCTGTTACTGAGCTTCTCCTAGAGGCTTTTGCATTGGTGTATTTGGTTTGTTTCTTTTGTTTAATGTTATCAAAGTGCTGACTTCTCATTACAAGCAGTAAATTTTGGAGGGCACTGATTTCTTTTGTTGAACTGTAGCTGCCCCAGGTTTATCCACAGAACAGGAATGTGTCCCAGTGAAGCTCCTTTAACTGGAAGCACGTGTTCAGTGTCTGGATAGCCACAGAAGCTGTATGAGCTGGGTATTAGTTTTGCTTGATAAATTAAGGCAAAGATTGCACACTGAGGCTACAGTATTTAGTCTCCCTTTTTCTGTCCAAGATTTTCTCCTTTGCCATTTGACTGAACTGAAAGTAGTTTGTGTAACCACTGTGAGGGACTAAGAAATATACAGGCTTCTCTTGGCCTTGTTTAGGAGGGCAGGTTTTCCAGATTGATCATTTATAAAAGGAGATTTCCAACATGTGTATAGATTGCTGACATTTGTTAGAAAGCATTTGGTAGTGGAAATATGCTGCACTGTGTTTAGTTAGGTAGACTCAAGTATCATCCTTTCTATTTGCAGCTCCTAAGAAAACTTTTCCAATCAGATCTTGGAAGTGTTTCAGCTCGCTGATAAGGCCAGATACACTGTTGTGAAAACAGACTTCCTTAAACCTGCAAATGGTCTCCTGTTTTGTAGATGATTGGCTTATTGGAGCTCCTTACAGCTCGAAATGCTTATAGGAAGTGTAACCTTTGGCTGACAAGACATTCTGCTGAAGTTCACCTACAAGCACATTTTGGCTCAGGAGACAGTGTGTCTAGCCAACAGGAATAATCTCAGCTGTGCTGGACCAGCATGTCAGCTTCCTATCCACAGAACTTGGAATCGCATCTGGGGCGATCTCAGAAATTGAAACCATGTTAAATCTTGCTTGGTAATTGTATTTCCCAGTAGCAGCTGGGTGTATTATCTTTTAGTGAAAATCCTTTCCAACAATGTTTTGTAGCAGTTTTTGGCTTAACCAAGAGGCTTATTATTGCTTGATAAAACAGCTAAGCAGAAGTTTTCCAGGAATTTGGATTGCTAGAGGTCTGTTCTATCAATCTATTTTCCAGAGCCTGGAAACTGAGATTCATTCATGGAAAGTTTAAATTACTTCAGTAATGCCTTCAAGAGTTTTCTGTAAACTCATTAATTCTGCTTTTATCAGTGTGTTTGGTTTCTCTTTTCCTGGGTAATAATTTCTAAGTATGTGGGGTTTATAAAATGTATCTTTATATCCAGCTTTTTTTCCGTGAGATCATGATGTAGAGCTTTGTTTTTTTGGTTTTTGATTCTTAGTAGAAATCCTAAGCATTTGAGAATTTTTCAACTCTTACCCTTGGTAACTTGATTCCATGTGTCTTTGCTGCCTTAAGCATAGGTTCACAAAGGTAATGAATATGTTTCCATTGAGACTTCCCTTGACTAAAACAGGTTGGAAGAAAACATTAAATTCTACCAGTCCTTAAGTAATGTTTTTCCAGTTTGGTAAAGGAGAGACAAGAAATTAAATTTTTCCAAAATTTTGATAAATTCTTAAATGCATTTGAATTTTGGAATGAAGACAAATATGATGAATTCTTAATTTGTAAGTAGTGTAATACACCTTTACAAAGGAAGAGTTGATCTATAGATGAAAACATGATTATTTTTAATTACTTAATCTTAGATTTTGTTGAATGAAAATATTGCCATCGCAGGCTAATTTTGTGTAATGGATAGAGAAACTAATACTTTGGAAAGTTGTCTTATAGAGGAATTAATATATTGGACTGCTGTGCTTTCCATTTTTGCTTGTGAATAAAGCCATTAACACCATGCTGATAGCTCTGGAGAATTTCAGAATGCACCAGGAAATAGATTTCTGCTCTGTAGAAGTCTGTGTTTCTTCATCTTAGGAAACTTAATTTGTCAATTTCTTTACAAAATTGTTCACGTATTTATTACTGTATGAAGTGAAACTCAGAACGAGCAATGTTTTGAGTAGATGGTATATCTAAAACAATCTTCTTCCCTTTTCCTGACAACCTGATCATGTCCTATGATTCTATGTTGAACAAGAGGAATTGGATTTTCAGTGTTTCTCAAATCAAAATTCCCATATTTTGGGAATATTGTTTGAATGTTTGAGGTGAGAGCAGGCAGTAGAAGTTCTAATACAAGTCTTGCTGCTTCTTTGGTTATAAAAACAGATTTCCACAGCTTAGCTTATGCAAAGGACCTTACCTATATTATTTTTCTTTGGCTGCTTGTAATTTACCAGTCAGCTGCTAGACAAGAGAACAGTGAGGAGCATTCATTTCTTCAAAAGCAGCTTAGCTGAACTAGCACTACATGTCTTGCATCATTTTATTTTGTTTTTAGATTCGGAAGTGTTTCAGGATATAAAAGGTCCTTTTCCTTTGAGTTGTCCACAAGATTCTCGTCACATTTAATGAGATCATACATGTCTACCTCTTATTTGCAAAATGGAAATTTCTGAACATTATGGAAATGACAATTTGTTTTTGCTTGCTGAGACCAAAATCGAAATGCTAAAACTGAGAATTAATTAATCTGTAAAAAAAGAACACTTGAACTGTGGAGGGGAAGCTCTAAAGTGTTTAAAATTTCAGCTTTACTGAACTTTCTCATGGGAGATGTGTACAAGTAATATTAATTTGCATTTTGTCATATTTAGGTTCAGCTTGTATGGTGGTAAAACTGAGCTTTCAGTTGTTTATGGCACATTCTGTTGCTTTCCAGACAAACCAAGGGTGGCAATCATTACTATTAACAGCAGGAGTCTGAAAATTGTGCAGTATAGGTAACACTTGAGGAGTGTGTGTATACTGGATACTACTGAAACTTGCTTCAATCCAAGTGTTGAAAAGAGGAGTTTAGGGAGGGGAAGTATACATTGCATATGTGCCCTCATATTCCTGAGTGGTTAAGAATGGGATAGGAAAAAACATCTTTATGCCTAAACAGCAAAATGCAAAGGGAAGTAATTTTCTGTTTATGCAGACCAACAGTGGATTACTTGGCTTAAACTTCCTTAAAATAGGACTCTGGGACTGTTCCTTTCTGCATAAATCATTGTTCTCTGGCCTTTGCTTATAGTCAAATTAGTAACTTTCCATTTTGAGGTTGAGCTGTCTCCTGTGCTCTCTTGGAACTGTTAATTCAAATTGTATTGTAGTGTAGATACATGATTTTGTGCTGAGATGTTTAAATAATCAATGATGAAGTATGCAGTGTCTGTGAGGCTGAATTTTTTATTTTTCCTCCTTTTTTGGTGTGTTCTATGCTAGTTTCTTTAAAGAACAAAAAAGAGGGGGGGAAAAAAAGCCCAAACCACTTTTCTTTTCTTGTTTCTTGTAGGTTTATGGGTGTCTGTGTGCATAAAGGACAGCTGCACGCTCTTACTGAGGTAAGACTATTTCATAATATACATACTGAATATGAAATATTCAGTTCTCAGGACAGATTCTGCAATTGGTATTCACCTTGAATGAAGTTTCTTTAATGGTGACTGGTGAGTTAATCACTCACTCTTTGTTGTGTTAAGGGAAGACTGCAGAATCAGTCCTCAGAACTCTACTCACAGCCCTTCTATGTCTTTTCTCCTCAGAAGCACTTATTGGGGTGAAAAAAGAAATCACAGTAAAAACATAAAACTTCACTGATAATGTTCTAAACAAGAAACGTGCATTGACATTGAGCTAACCCTAAGTACTTACTTATTTCCGTGACATTGCATTGTATTTAAGTCTTAGTTATACTCCAGTTGTACATTTTGCAAGTGAATCAATAATGTTTCAGCTGTGTCATGTTATTGTATTTAGTCCCTACCACTTTCATATTGCAGCTTAATCTGGGTCCCATAAAAAGAAATTACTCCATTGCCCATGTACCCTGGCCAAGATCTAGGCATCAAATATGAAGCTGTAGTTTCCATTTGTACAAGTTCCCGCCCAGCTTTATTGGGTTGTTTATTTAATCCCTCTGTAAACTGCTCAGGAAAAACAAGAAGAGAGTATTCTCTTGTTAGGAATAGTATTACCTGTTTTGAGTCAAAATCAATAAAATGCTTTGCCTGTTATATTAGTTTGAGTACGGACTGAAAGGAAACTCATGGTTTGTGAAGTTAATGTTTCTTATTTACTTCTGTTTTGTAGAAACTGCTCAATTAAATGATTAACCCTTTTCCACCCTCCCAAAGACAAGTCTGTTATTAATTAGCAATTTAAGCAGGTTCTTGGTATGGTGTGCTTGCCAAGAACTGCTGTAAAATGAGGAAACTGGGGAGCTGTATGCCAATTAGCAGGATATGTGTCACCATCACTTTCTGTAACTTACAGATGCCAGTCTGAGGCAAAGATGCACATACGTGGGCATTGAATTTCTTCACCTTCTGGGGTGACAATTTTGCAGTTCTCATTCTAGCTGCTTTTGGAGTGATGCACTCTGGTTCACTGTCTGTATTTCTAGTGGAGCAAAGGTAAAGACACATCCAGAAATGTCAAGATACAGCATGTGTGTGAGCACTTTGCCATGAGAGGGACAGTTTATTTGATTTATTCTTACTGGGTTTTTTTGGTTTTTTTTCCCCCCTCACTGTGCTCAGTAGAGGAAACATTTCTAAGATGTCTGATCAAGTTATTCAGGCAGGCTTTGCTAACATTATTGTTGATTTATTTTGGATCTCTGGTCAATTAAAACAGGGAGGTTTTGGGCTATTCTACTCACTAAACTTTATTGTAGAAGAGGTGGAGCTTCATAATGCTTTATCGTACTAAAACTTGGAAGATTTTGCTCAATGTGGCTTTGTTTGCTTTTTTTTCCCTTCCTTCACAGCAGTTGCTTGCCATTTAAATAACTCTCCCCACCCAAAAAGCCAAGAAAATGAAAACAGCACAGATGCTTCCTCATAGTGAGCTAACTTTGTAGCTGCTGTTTTGTTCAGCTATTTTTGCGTTCTTGGCAAGCAAATAAATCTAAGAAAGACTTCAAAGAATAACTTTTATAGTTGTAATTCAGAATAACAGAAGAGATTCCTGAAGCATCTTGAGACCAAAAAGGTAGAGTTTTTGACTGAAGAAGTTTGCTGCAACATTTTGAGAAAGAGAATAACTTTAGTGGTATATTATAAAAGTATGATTAGAGATTACTGCTTTTCTTCTGTGGACATAGGTGAGCATTTAGTGCCTTCAATAGGAAAATTAATGACAGAAATTGATGTTGTAGGGAATCCACACAAAATTTTGCCCAGTAACATAGCTATTCTTTGATTTTAGAGAGCTTTTAAAAGTTAAAAATAGTATATGTTTCAAGTGGTGGAATTGTCTTTTCTAGCAAAAGTAGTAGTATTTTTCATCTTCAAGTGTGTGTAGAGTAATAATTGAATTCTGAAGACTTCTGGAGGCTGAAGAAGGGGGCTGAAATAATGAGCTGAAGGAGTTATTAGTAAGACAGGGTGAATCACCAATTCAAATATAGCCCAGGAGGATAAACAAATTAGCCACTGTCTCGTGGCTTTTTTCAGCTTGTGGTCCACAAAGGTGGTCTCCCTGCCTCCAGTGCTCAGCATAGTTGAGATCAGCCTGGCGCTACAGGTGCTCAGAACTTCTGCCAGGGCTTCACTTCTTTGGAGATGAAACTGTTGATTCAGAGGCCTATTGGTCAATAGGTGTCTGAGTCACTGCAGACTCGCACTTGCCTGTGCTGGACCTGTTTTGTAATGAATTTAATTATCCCCTCTTGTGTTTTGAGAGTACAGCTGATGATATGCCTATGTAAGCGGGATACAGCATCACTTAGAGCTTATGTCTGAGGGCAGCATGATGGGAAATCATGTTTATTTTATATATGTATATATTTCCATAACAGAAGAAGTTGAGAACTTGTACCAAATGTTTAGTGGCTGGATTTAGACAACTTGTGCTATTAACAGGCAAGGCAACCTCAAACAGTGTTAGAAGAGCCTTGAGGATTTTGTAAGCCTCTTAAGGGGCTACATTAGGAATATGCAACACTTTGTTATTGGAAGGCAGGCTTTGAAGTATTTCAGATTTCTTTTCTTCCATGTTTACAGACACAGGAGGCTTAAACACAAGAGTGGATCATGCAGAGCAGGTTTTTTGCTTGAGGAAGGTGTTGATCCTATGTATGCCTTGGGATTTTCCCTTTTGGCAGCATTTTGTGTTGATTTAATTTTCCTCTCTCAAGTGGCTTTTGTTTTGAAAATTCTTGAGCAAGAGGCAGTTTCTGTTTGTTTTGGTTTGTTTTTTTCAAAATAAGGATGGAATTGTTTAATTATAGACTGCACTAGGACTTTGGCCTTGTTCTGAATCCACAGTCTTATCAGTTTTGATAATCCAATTTTTTTTCTTTAAGTTCTCAAGCCAGAAACTATGGCATATGCCTCTTCTGAAGTAATTCAATATCCTTAGATTGACAGAACAGCTTAGACTGCAAAGGACCTCTATCCCTGCAAGCACTAAGTTAAGAAACATTTAAGGAAAGCAAAGTAAATGCTTTAATAGGTGTATCACCCAGATGAGCTGGAAGGCATTAGATTGCCTCACTAATGTTGAGCTCATGAGCACAGATTTGCCATGCTTGTTTTCTCTAGAACCAGAAACTGGGTATTCCTTTCTCAGCAATCAGCTCTTAATCTGAAGCTGCCGTTTGTTTCTTTAGCTACAGGAATCTGCAGTGCTTCCTGCTGTACTCACATGCCTCTCCAAACTAATTCTGGCCTTTCCCTCAGGCCTCTCTGTGTTTTCCATCCACTTTCCTAATCTGACAACTCTCTTCACTTCCATTTCCTGGCACACTGCAGTATCGTCTCGGAGAAACTTGCATATTAGTAGAGTCTCTGGTGTCGGCATGGGATGCTGCTGAACATTCAGAGGCCAGATCAGCGCTGCTGCCAGACAAGCAAACAGTGTGTGCTCAGGGGACATGGAGCCAGTGGGGAACAGCTGTGGCTCAATAGCAATTGTGTATGATTTTATCCCATACACATCTACCATGGAATGGCTGCATGAGTGAACATCCATTTTAGATGGGAGGCACATTTATTTGTGTGTTGTAGGTTTTATAGGCCTGTGCTATCATACTGAAGCAGATAACATAGCGGCATGAAGTCTAGCAATAAAAGCCACTTAATACCTTCTTGCAGATCTTGAATTGTTTGTTGAACTCAGTTAAACAGGTCTAAGAGGCAGGTCAGGCTAAAATCTTGTTATAATTAGGTGTGTATTTATATATGCACAGAATGTGTCATGCAGCTTGATAATTCCTTCTTGAAAGAAATGAAAGCCTTGGCAATTTTGTGTATAGAAGGTGAGGAATGGGAAGTTATGTGTTGATTGGGATATCCTGAAATTGCAGTGCTTTGGGGACAATAGTTAATTGTTGTAACAGAAGTTTTATGGCTATTAATTAATACTGATGATAGTAAAATGTGTGCAAATGCACTGTTGCCATAATCTGTGTGGGATCTGACTTGCATTGGAGCTTTCTCAGGCAGAGGGTAGGGCTGTTGCAGTGTGATAGGAGCACATGGTAGCTGATGGAAGAGTAGGGCAGTATCATTTCAGCCAGCAGCTGTGTGAGCTGAGAGTTGCCTGACATGCTCTTCTGAAGTCTTTCAGATTTGGTTCTTGCTGATGAACTGCAGACAGACCCATGGAACACCTGATACCACACCGGCTACTTGGAGTGGAATCAGAAGCACTGAGGGTAGTTGGGCAGCCATAGTTTTCAGGTGCTCTTACATATGGCAGTGGGACAAGGGCTAAAGCTTATTGTAATGAAAATGCCAATGTCCTTTGAAAAGAGAGTTTTTTCAGTAAGTTCTTTGGTGATAACTGAAAACTTCCCTTCTCTGCTTTCCTTCCCAACAGCAATAATTTAATAAACAATAAGTGCAATTAGTGGAGTTTCAGTTTTTGGAGACCTTCCTTTTATAAGCATTATTTCTTTTTTACTTTTGGGGATAGTACTTAGTTGAAAGAAAAAATATTAAAAGATTAAAAATCTCAGAATTATTTCAGTTCTGCTGAGTTGCCCTTTCACAAGGAATAGAAAGTAAGTTCTTGAAATGAGAAGGTTCTTCTGATATACATCTTTCACAAGCAGAATAAGTTATTAAAAGTATTTAATTCGTCTTTCTTTTTTCCTCCCCTCAGTTCTTGGTTATCTTTCTGTGGAGAGCCTTTGACCCTAGAATGGAGAAAACCAGACAGACATCACTTCGGTCTCCTCTTCTGAAGCTTTATGCTACAGCTAAAATTGTAGTCGTGCATTGCCTTCCAGATGGCAATTGCACACTAGTGAGAGTTTTAAAAAGGTCTGAAATACCATTCCTTCCCTGCTCCCTTCTTTCCTCATCTCCTGTAAGACTCTCTAATCCCTACTTTA